CATGACCATGTTGCGAAAACAAGGTCAAACAACATCTATACAACGAAAGGAGACTGCGATCACACAAAAGGCTACACCATCTTGGTCTTCATACCTTCCATTTCATATCGTTTAGTCGCAGTCTCCTTTGGCCTCACACTTTGGGCTTGAATCAAACCTGAAATCGGCCAAAATATTAGCCGGCGGATCCACGTTTGCGATGTGGGATCAGAAAGAAAAGGCTAAAAGTATAGATGGACCAAATATAGATCCTAAATGTGTGTGCGTCGGTGTTTGTGTGTATTTTTCGTGTCTGTGCCTGAAGAAGTGATTGGTCACAGGCTTGACGACGGGGGATACCAGTCGACAGACAAACGAACAGCGTAGTGCCCCAGGGTTAGATGGGAATGCCGACGTAAAGGACGAGAGGAGTGTGCCACTCGCGAACGAGAAGGTTATGAATTAAGCCGTACACATGTCCCCAAAGAATGAGACACAATGTGGGAAAGAGGACAGACGAGTCATGGGTTTGAGGCCTATGGAGAGGAATATTCCCAGGCGCTGGCATGGGGACATGGGCATGGGCCTCATCTGATCTGAATCCTCGAACATGGCGTCATCGAGAACAGGAATTAAAGGCTCTTGGGCAGCCAGTTTGCAGAGTCGGGCAGTGATTTTGATGCATGGCAGCGACCAATTGGCAAACGGGGTAGGTGAAAGGGGGGCAAAATGAAGGTGAGGGGCCATGCAAACGGCACCTCGGACCGGTGTTAAGGGTGATTATGCCCCACTAAATCCACTTGTAGCGACACAAGCCTAGGCCACATTGGAGGAGAGGATACAGAAATGTATTCATACAGAAATGTATGAATAGGTAGATGGGCTATACGAAGTGGGTTGACCTCATTGTCGCAACTTGGTCTTGTTGTCAGGGGGACTTAGTAGAACATACCTAGTCCGAGGTCGTCTCCCATAGTAGTTGTCATGATTACCAGCATCAGACAGTGGACTTGGTACATTCTCAAACGTTTCGCCGAACATCGTAGTCGGCATAACCAGTAAGTTTTGCCATTCTCCGCATTATGCTGGGAGTCATGACAACTACTATGGCAGACGACTTCGGAATAGGTGCGTTCTACTAAATCGCCCTGACAACAAGACCAAGTTGCGACAACGAGGTGAACCCATTTCTATACATCGAAAGGAGATTGCGACCTTACCGGAGGCCACAATATACGAAGTGGGGTTGAGAGAAAGAGATCCAGCACCAGAAGGAAGAACAAAAATAGGGACGAGGAGTGATGCCACGATAAGTAAACAGAGAATTGGTCAAGAGGATTACCTTCCTCGTCACTTTGATCAATCATAGCTCTGTTCTACCGATGTCGCCTCTTGCTGACAATGCCGGCGAGACGTGTGGGAATGTACCAATCCGATGGTCCGACGCAGGAAATCATGAATACTCTGGCAGAGGACATGGGTCTCCCTGACCCTTTGACCAAGTTACGAAAACGAGGTGGAACCAACACCATAGAGCTAAAGAAGACAGTGACCAAACAGAAGGCCACACCATCTTGGTTTTCATACTTTGGATAAAAAAATTTCGCTCGACTATCCTGCACCGCACGGCAAACAGTCCCAAGCAATTCCACCAACTGCTCCAGTGTGTTTTTTGGGTAATTATGCCATTTAGCGATACAAGTGTGTGTGTGTGTGTGTGCGTATGTGTGCGATAAGACAGTTACTGAATAATGTTTAGGTGGGCAGGAAAACGTAAGACTCGTTCAACTTTGAATGTGCAAATAATCTGAGGAAAAATGCACTTGACGAATTTATCAGTCACGGAACAGCACCAAGAGCCCAAGGCAATAGGGAGAGCCCCCCACAAAAGTGAAGACGAGAGGAGATCAGATGAGATCAGATGAGATCAGATCAAACCCATGCAGGGGCCGAATGATCACTCGACTCGGCCAGCCTCGTGAAATCGTGACAGCCTTCGAAGGTAATGTGAAGTAAACCAGGCATGAGACTGTGAACAAGGCACTTGTAGGTGCGCGTTGGCATACGCTGCAAAGGACAAAAGAGAGGCAGAGGCACGCAGTTGTTAAACTGACAGGGCGGATCGAAGTCACTAAGATTCCTGAGACGAATGAACGAAATGATACGAATTTGGCACACCTCGGACTTGTCATGTGAACCCTGAATGGGTAGGAGAGTCCAGGCTAAAGTACAGAAGGCACCATGCAAATCACCGCCTTGGCAGGTTAGTGATGTGGCAATTATAGCGAGTTTTGACATGTGTAGTCATAAGTGGATGTAGGCAATGACATGTTTTTGCATTGGAAGCAAATTCTGAGGCAAGAGGGCACATTCACATGTTATGTTGTGATTTCGTGCTTCTGGAGGTGTGCAAACATATACATATATCTGTGTGTGTGTGTGTGTTGGTGTGTGTATGTCCAGGCAAAGTTGAAAGGAATTTCTGGAAGACCAATCCGAGACCATCACCTGCTTGTGGTGGAGTAGGAAAAGTGGCGAGGCTGGCCAAGCGAAGACTTGGACCTAGGGTTTTAGCTTAAAAGTGAAATCTCTCAACTTGCCCAGACACAGAGTGTGGAAGTCATGCCAAGCCCAATTCTACCGCAAGACTGGCGATTCCTCTCGGAAGCTCGCTCTGCCACCGAAAGTAGAGGCGATCAGGTGGCTGAGGCCAGTAGGAGTAAAAAAAGTGTGTACTTGACGTGACTATACTTCGAAGGTATCAGTAATTCTCGAATGGCAACCTAGTCATTGTTGGGCTTACTTCCATTTCGAGTGAAAGTGTTGCGTGAAGAGATTCGAAGCTCGGTTCCACCACAAGACGACGACCAGCTGTCGATTGGCTCTACTGTAAGATTCATGCTGACGCTGTTTCCAAGGCAATCGGCAATCTCCTTCGATTCCGGTGAAAAGGTGCTAAGCTTTCGTCTGGACGGACGAGTTTTCTTGACTCGTTCGCTTGAATTTCATTGTGACCATGATACCTCGTTCGTGCACCGGAATCGAAGGAGATTGCCTCGGAAACAGCGTCACCGAGAATGTTCCAGTAAAGCCAATCGAAAACTGGTCAGAGGAATCGGCCGTCGTCTTCTGATGGAGGCGAGCTTCGAATCTCTCCACGCAACACTTTCACTCGAAATGGAAGTTAGCTTAACAATTATGAAAGAAGAGATTCCTCGAAACCCAACTTTTCTTCGCATGTAGGAACCTAGTGAGTCTAGGTCGCTTAAAATTATTTAAAGTATTCGCAAAATGATACGATTATACCTCCCGTTGCCATCGAGTTTGCCTCGGCCTTGCATGCTAAAAGTTTTTTTTTCTCGATCCGACTTCACCGGACGGCGGTTTCGAGCTCGCTTCATAGCGTCATCAGCACTTAAACGAGAGTCTAAATCGCGTCGTGGCCATTGTGGCGGCACAGAAGCACCCCGTCGGGCAGAGGCTGGAGCCAACGGATCACGGGGCGGGCGTTACTTTCAAGACAAGCCAAGCCTTCGTCGAATCGAATCTTCACAATCGGAGTGCCGATGGAGCACAAGTATTTCATACTACACTCGACGACGTTATTTATATTCGATGTGACAACGTTTTAAAATGACGAGTGATTCTTGAACAAGAATGTAATCCCTCTGGATCGCTTAAGGTGATTCAAGGACTGACACTGAAGCTGCTTCCATAGTCCTCGGGTGTAGACGTGACAGTTTCTAAATGTACTAATACCAAATATAAGTAATATCGTCAATTATAGTGATGAATATATGTTCGCCTCGTCAATGCTCCCACTCGTAAGACCTGGCGTGTCTTAAAGGTCACATCTTCTCTGTGACCCATTGGCATCTGTGGCTGCGTAACGTAAGTGTTAGTGTACCACCACACACACACACACATGACCCGGATTCCACACCCTCGTTACTAACAAGACGACGAGGTGAGATGGAGACGACTGTTCCCTTCGGCCTAGATGGGAAACCAATTTAGGAGACGCGGCAAAGCGAGTGCAGTGGCTCCTTGAGGCCTAGTTTTATGAGTTCGGGTAGAATTCTGCTCTACCTAAATTTATGCTATCTGGAATATTTTGGCTACTTTAGCTACTTTGTCTACTTTTGCTACTTTGGCTACTTTAACTACTTTTGCTATTTTTGCTACTTTTGCTACTTTTGCTACTTTTGATACTTTTGCTACTTTCACTACTTTCACTACTTTTGCTACTTTTGCTACTTTCACTACTTTAACTACTTTTGCTACTTTTGCTACTTTAGCCACTTTTTCCCGTCCACTCGTACGCCACGAGTTTGGCCTAGCGAGAGACGTACCGACTGTCCAACAGTCTAAACTAATTCTCTGAAGTCGATGAAGAAAGGGGCGTAGTTTCCGGATGTCGCGTAGCAGCGTGTCCAAGCGACCTGTATCGACTCGCTACCACGATGACCAGACGACCCGAGACCTACGAGCGGGTCTCGTCGGGAGTTGAGCCTTTGGCATAGCCACAAAATGCACATGAACGGGCGCCGGTACAGTTCGGCCGAGACTGCCAATCAAAATAGGCCCAAGTGCAACACAGCCAAAGCCACCGGACAACCATAGGGTCACAGGCAAGCCAGGCGTCTCGGTATCCACACTTATGGTGAGATGATATTCGATGAGGAAAGCGCATTTTTTCACAATTAAATCAGATGAAGTCACTTATTTTCTATGCACCCATCAGTTCCTACACAGCCTTAAGCGACCCAGGGTGATTAATGTTCCTATTCAAGAATAACGTGTACGCTTGAGAGATACTCGCATAGAAGAAAGGTCGAATAGAAAGCCACCAGCTAGACATAGCAAGAGGTGTGTTCTATCCGTTTGGCTGTAGGACTTTCACCGTCCAAATGCACCTAAACGGTTCATACTTCTTGTGCCAGTTGAATTAGCATGAGACCTGATCACTGGCGGATTATGTCAAGTCTCCTTTCTCACTTTGACTGTTCTACCCTGTGCTTTTGGAGAATGGGCATCGAACGCAACCAAATAGCATCATCTTCATCATCATCGTCAGCAGCAGCAGCATATTCATCAGTACCACCATCATCATCATCATCATCAGTACCACCACCACCACCACCATCATCACCATCATCATCGTCGTCATAATCATAATCACAATCATCATCAGTACCACCAACAGCATCAGCAATATCAACATCACCATCATCATCACCATCGTCGTCGTCATCATAACCATAATCATCATCAGTACCACCACCATCATCAATACCACCATCATAATCATCATCATCAATACCACCATCATAATCATCATCATCAATACCATCATCATCGTCGTCGTCGTCTTCATCACCATTGACGTGCAATCTGCGGATTGATGGAGGGCTGAAGTGATGACCAAATGCGCGACATTGTTTGACACTGTCTGATGGACTGGCCAATTCGAGTCCGCAGTCAACGAGAGTGAAACGACCTCACAGAGGACTCACCAACTGGCAAACTCGTTGAGTTCGCAGCATGCCAGAGTCATTTGTCCGAACAAGTGGTGCAGTGGAAAGATAGCGTAACAGCCAGTCTAGAGAAGAAGAAGAAGAAGAAGAAGAAGACAACTGGCCTGGCCTGGCCTTAAAGCATGTATCAGATCGCGTCGAAAAGGCCGCTTGTAAGCTGATCTCGAGTCTCGCCCACTCCGAGTCAGTTCCCGGCTGCCTTTGAGACTGTTCTGGCTGGCCTGGCAGCTCCAAGCAACGCGTCACTTGAAACCGCCCGGCTAGCACAAGCGTGCATAAATGCACTCGGTATCGGCCAATTGAAGAGGAAGAAGAAGAAGAAGAAGAAGTAAAAAAGAAGAAAAAGAAGTAAAAGAAGAAAAAAAATAAAAAGAAGATGAAGAAGAGGAAGAGAAAAAATAAGGAGAAGAAGAAGAGCAAGTTACGCAAGTAGCCCTAGCCAAGGTGGCATGTCAGGCAAAAGGGGCCCACCAAAACTGCCTTGACGGCTGTTGTTGTAACGGTATCCAAGGCCTGTTGAAGCTGAAGCAATCGTCGCGTTCGTATGTACTTCCGCAGAGGCCGGAGTTGGAAGAGGGAAACTAAGACGGTTCTCCTTCACATCTCTCCACGTGGCGAGCCGACAGAGTAGAATGGCGTAGAGTGTGAACGAGGGCCGTTCTGAAGAGGAGTCGGAGTGTGGATCTGGTCGAGACGGAGACGGTGCGGGACAGATGGCCGAAGCCGGATTGGCGCAGGACGTCCGAGCAGGGCAACGGGTTGCACCGGACCGTGGGAGTTGGGTGCAGGTCAGGCCGGTTGCCAAGCGAAACAGGCCCGGTGTTACCTCACGCCGCGCAGTTGTACTACCGTGGCTCCGAGCAGCCCCTCAGCCCCCGTCCCCCGTCCCTTCCCCAGGACGGGGCAGGCCTTGTTGCCATCTCGAAGGCAGACGCACTTTCAAGTCTGCTGGTAGACCGGCCGGGCGTGCGGGGTGGGGGCGCCGGACGGCAGCGAGGGTGCAGGCCAGTCCGTTGGTAGGCATCCTCTTTTGGTGGGCAGCAAACAGTGTCCGCGGGGAATGCGGTTGGCAACGAATGAGACACAAGTCCCTTGCTGGTCTGCGGAGCCATCAGTGCGAAATGGCAACACTGTACTGAGAAGCCGCATGGACAAACCCAACGCAAGCTTAGCATGTATGTGTGTGTATGTATGTGTGTGTGTGTGTGTGTGTGTGCATGGGTGTGCATAGTTGCATGAACCGCGGGGTGTGAGCAAGAGTCCGAAAGTGTTTACGCTTCATGTGGTGGATGATGAGACAGAGGAAATGATGAAACGAGTGTGTTGACGAGAGACGCGCAAGCTCCCCGGCTTGTTGGCATGCGGGAAGATCGTTTTGCCTGTTTCCCTTTCGGCCAGGCTTGGGGAGGGGAGGGGAGGCGAAGAATAGCCCAATTGCGGCCATTCACCCTTTGTCGCGCAGGGTGGAGCAGAGGTGCCCTACCGACCAGTCGCTCAGCTGGATCGGCCCTGTGACGACGAGGAAGAGGTGATTTCTATCGCAGACCTGTTGGCGATAGGAGGGTTGATGTGCGAGGTGGACGCTGGAGAGGATGTGAAGAAGAGGCATGGTAGACGGACTGTTCCCGAATCAATCGTGTCCGGACATGCAAGATGACTGCAGCCATAGACAAACAGAAGCAAATCCTATTTTTCGTGCATCATGAAGCGATGGTCGACGCATGTGTCATAGCAGGATCCTAACGAAATGTCATGCAGACTACTACTCAAATGGACTGTAAGTAGTACAATAGAGGGACGTGTTTTTGAAAATAAAAATAGAAACTCGGCTTGCAACGCCCGGCTCCTGCGGCGCCGAACCAGCGGACAGCCTTCGCCTCTGTCCGGGCGTCATGATGCGTTCTCGCGCGTCCTAATGCGTCGCCCCACGCCCAGAAGGAGCAGAGCCATTAGCGATTAGTGCGCGCGTAAAAACCTTTTGCCCCCGACCCAGAAGGACCGAAAGTGGGCGAACTGGCGCCCTTTGTTCTGTACCTCGGCCCCATTTGCCCATCCGCGGAGACTGCTGACAGGCCGCTCCTCTTCACCCCGCCCTGGCCTGGCACACACTCGCCGTGTCGTCATCGCGTCGAAAGAGCGCCGTCCCGCCCGTCTCGGTGTCCTGTTGCGCCCGTTTGCCCGTTGGCAACAATTGAGACGGGGCCCGCTTCGGTCACGCCTCGGTGCTTACGGCCGCATGGACTGAGGCAAGAAACTGAGGCCAAAACGTGTCCTTCGTCTTTCTGCTACAAACCGGAGGCTCCAAATTCTCTCTCATTTGCCACCTTCGAGACCAGAAGTCTCGGCGGATGAGAAGGCGAAGACCAGACGAGGCTGTAGGTAGCATCCACTCGAGAAAGACGAGCTGGTCTTGACGGTCTTGGTTGACAGGCAGGGCCGTCGTTGTCACTTTTTGCGCTGCATTTGTCGACGAAACCGGTTCGACAAGCAGAATCCACCGAGTTCACATTTTGCTTCGGTCTCGCCGACAGTCCGGACGCGCGCTGGGCGAGGCTTCAGACGCAGCTGATTCGAGCAAGAGGCCTCTTTAGTCTCGACAAAACGGTACCCTCCGAGTTCGCAGTTAAGAGTAGTCTAACGCAGTGATTCCCAAATTGTGCGCGGCGAAATATTGTAAAAGCTTCAATTTGAGAAAATGTGCAGTCATTTGCAGGCTCATACATCACATTAATTATTAAATATTAATTTAATGTTAATAAAGTATTTTTTTAAATAATGAAGATACACGACTTTTATTTATTTTTATCTCTTACTTACGAATAGTCCTACTCAGGGTATGGCGACAGGGAAAAATTGTAATTGAAACAGGGCGCCGAGACTAGGAAAAGTTTGGCAACCACTCAGGTGGGCAGAGGTTCCTTGTACAAATGTAACCTTTCTCACTGCCTGGGTGACTGACTTTAAATGACCTTTCATAATACCACTTTTTATTGAATTTCACATGGCCTTGCCTTCCCAAAAGGTGTTCTCATCCAGGCAGGAGTGGAGTGCGCTTTCGACATCGCCGACGTCTTAGCAACCTCCTCAACGAGACGCAAGCCATGGCAATACAGCGTGTAATCTCGGCACGTTGCCACGAGTGTCCTTGCTTCAGGTAGCAGATGGAAATTTCATGCAAGTC